TATCGTGACATACAGCCTTTACAAAAAAATTAATTTTTTTCACGAAATTTGGTGAAAACTTTCCCAAACACACTGTAATTTTTTTGATTTAAAATATTTATTTTTTCACCTTTTTTGACTTAATATCGAAGGACGATAATTTTCAATCGAAAATTCTACCGTCAAAATATCTGCTTTTTGTTCGTTGAAATCTCTTCTTTCTGATGGTGTAAAAAACATTACTATGGTAAATGTTCTCATGCAGAAAATGCAAATAAACGAAAAAACTCGAATCCAAAATTTTTTTTAATCATTATGTACAATTTTGAGCTATTTATTAAAATTTACACTTTAATTACTCGAAAAACATTCCATGTTACATTGATAAATAAAAAAATTAAAGTACATTGCATGCGAGTTTAAAAAGCCTAAAATTGCAGCTTATTAACGTGGGATGGGATGTTTTTGTGCTAGGGTGCCTTGGATCAAAGGCATTTTTTTCTTCAGTGCCTTCTCAGTTGTAATGGGCATAATACAATAAAGTATCAAATCACTTGGCCTCTGGGACATGTGCTACTGGTTAATATTTCTTAAATCGGAAAAATAATTCTATTCCTGTAAAAAAGCTTATAAAATCGATATAATTTACATGTAAAGGTAATCAACTTACCGTTTATATGCTTTGAATGTGTCAATTGCTTAAATTATATCCACTTCAAAAATCAGGGTTTGAGTAGACTGGTTTAAAATTCTTTAAATCGAAGACAAATAAACACTTTCCTGACTTTTTTTTAAATCGATAGAGAATCATATAAAAGTTATTACCTTACCGTCCATATGCTCTAATATGTTAAATAAATAAATTGCTTTCATTTTCAAAATTATGCTTTAATAATTTCAATGACCTCTGTTATTCTTATGGACATTAATGACAGTTGACGGTCTGGTTCTTCTGTTGGCATCCAGGCTATGACCTTTCTCAACCTGTGACGTTTTCGCTAAACACGCGTACCTATTACATCTAAAGGAGGGACTCCACCAAAATGGGCTAGCCCGGCGGCACATGCCGCCAGCTTTTGGCGAAGCAAAATTGACATAAAAATATTCTTCAATGCCGCCGGCATTAGTATCCGGCACATTTTGCTAGCGGCCAAATGTCGGTAAACATGAAAGGCATTTCTGCGGGCTATGCAAACAAGCACGTGTTTCCAGACAGTCTTGATGTTTGTATGAAATGGTTCATTTCGCGAGGTTTGTAAACGCAGTAACATACAGTGGATATTCAAGAGACTTTAAAATGGATAGCCAAAAATATATACAAGATGATGATAATATTTTTACCAAATGTACTGAAAAAAAAGTCTTATTATTGATATAATTATTCCGAAATGAAGGTAATTTTTGGAATCCTAGAGAAAATAATTATAAAAAATTAGATTCATTATTAAAAATTTCCAAAGTATTGGGTGTTGAAAAAGCTGAGGTGGAAAGAAAAATAAAAACAACCAGCCACTTTTATCGAGAAAAAAGAAAATGGAATAAAAGAAATCATGTTCTGGAACTGATGAGAATTATAGAACTAAATGGTTTGCCTATTCGTATTTGGAGTTTTTGAAGGACAAAAATGTACCATGCGTTCTACCCAAGAAACTAATAAAATAAATACACAGGTAAGTTTTATACTTTTTTAATTGATTTTTTTTAAAGCGAAATAAAAAAGATAATTATACCAACATACGTACATAAAATGCAGAACAGAGAAAATATTATGAAAAAAACTATGCGTATCTAACTTGCAAATGGACTTTACCCTCGTTAACGAAATATTCACAGAACTCATCTCTAATTGTATGTGGTATATTTGCAGATTTTCGAGGAATTTTTGCAAGCTGCAACAATGCGTCATTTGCAGGATTGTTCACTCGCAATGATCCTGTTAGAATTATCCCTATTTCTGTATCTTCTATGTCGTATGTGCCTGGTGGATTATAACGAGCTCGAGTTTCTGCCTTTCGTCTCATAAAATAATGTAAATATAAACATGCCAATGTTACTTCAATAGCAGTCGTTTCTTGAAGTAACATTGGCTTCCCAAATACTCTAAAAACTGAATCCATTTTTATCTTTTTCTTTCAGTTAAAAAACCGTATATAAATAAAATCTAAAAAAACATGCATACTTACAAATATTTGATCCTTGAGAGCTTCTCTTATTCCTTTGCACACTTCAGGTACAATAACTCTAATTAACTGCTTTGATATCCTAAAAGTGTGGCTTAAGCTACCACATGAATCACCTGTGCATATAAACCGTAATGTTACTCCCAATCGATCCGCAATTGTTATAGCATATATGTAATTTGTATTACATTTAGCAATTGGTCCAATTAAAAGCAAATTACTTCCTCAAAATCTGTTGCACTCATCCTAAGAAAAATTTGAAAAGAGCTTTTGATAGAATGGCTAGGCACTAAACCATAATCATCCATTCATCATTGATTTAAAAGTTCTACATAATTTTTGTTTAAACTAGGCCGTACCCAAAATCTGTGCTTCATTTGATCTTTTTTGCAGATAATTTTTAAGGCCATAGAGCCTAATAAGAAAATTTCGTCGTCGTCAAAAAACATTCTCGGATGAAGAACAACCAACTGTCTAAGCCTGGGCAAGCCGAAACTTGAAATGCCCACTTTGGTGGAGTCGAATTTAATTTCGTGGCAAAGCCGCGGCATTTTGTTCCGGCCGCAAGTGCCGCCGAGCTAACCCAGTTAGCCCGCCTTAATAAGTTAATTCTGATGTTCCCGTTTAGTGGATTTCGATACGCACTTGTGGGCGCCAGCGTGTCAAATATCACCTCGCTATGTGGCTTGATTTTATTGATCGGCTTTGCTCTTCCAGTTTAATATATAGTTCAGTGAATACAAGTTTTCTTTGCTGGTTTCAGTATTGTCCGAAACTTGCGTAGCATACTTTGAACTGCAACCCACCTTGCTTTAGAGCGGTCCTATCACGGATGTACTATCCCTTTATATGTCTATACTTTTACTCTACTATTTAGAACGTAGATCCAATTATTTAGCAGCCCCCATAACTTGCCAGCACTACATATCTTTGGATTTTCTTCAGTGCGGCCTGTGCAAAATATGAGTATTTCTGTATCGTCCCAACCACTGACAAAAAAAAAGATGTCGCTGCCTTTCCTGCCAAATGCTCCCTGAAAAAGATCGCGCGTTTGTGAACAAGTTTTAACTCACTCATGGTTTTTATGCTGTAGTTTTCCGACTGGTAGAGCTTGTTTTTTCTCTTCAGTTGCAGTGGCGGCTGGTGAGGGAGAGCGCTGGGGCGCCGCCCTCCCTGAGAAGTAGCAGGAGTATTTCCATACACTTTAAGCAGTAATGTTATTTAACTCCATCTAAATTTATTAACAATAAAAGAATCAAACGCAAATAAATGCAATAATAAAGTTTGTGAGCGAACAATTTAATTAGCCATCATAATAAATGCGTGTTATAATTAATGTATCGGCGTATAGTACCAGCAGCCCATAGCGAATCGCTGGATGGTTGCCATATGGTTACCGACGTGAACGTGTAGATCGCAGAGAAATTATGCATTATGGATACATGCGTTGGCGGGCGCAGCTCAGTCAGCCCTCAGCCCATCTGGCGGTCACTTTGTGGTTTGTTTTGCTATGTTGATCTAGTGTTGTGTTGTTTATTTATCTTCGTAATAATAATTTATCATGAAAGTAACGGAATTAAAAAGCCTCGTTTTCAGCTGCTTAAGTTTAAATGATTTTTGGTATTTTTTTTTGTGCCCTTATACTCAACCCTCCCTATTACACAAGTCACGAGCCTCCACTGTTAAGTTGTGACCTGACGTCCTTCTCTCTGAAGAACGTGGTTCAAATTAAAAAAGACTGTGCCATTTTAGTGTTGCAACGTTAGCGATTGCGCCCTCACAGGTACATTATAGGTTCTTTCGTTCGTCCCACTGGTGTAGGAATGAACTACAATAACGCACACCACACCTTTCGTTTGGCCCGGTGTAAAATCGACTACACCTTCCCGACGGCAATGTTGGTGTCCACTGGTGGATTTTTTCTCCATCGGCTATTTAGCAGGAGTGAACTACACTCGACATGTGAATCAGGAATAAGGAGGAAGTAAACTAGGTAAATAAAGATGGTGTAACTGGTGCAATTTACACTGGTGGGCACTGCACCAACAGCGAACGAAAGAACCCAATAGGTTCTTTAGTTCGCCCCACTGGTGTAGGAAAAAACTACACCAAAGCATACCATACCTTTCGTTTGGCCCCGGTGTAAAATCCACTACACCTTCCTGTCGGCGATGTGGTGTCCACTGGTGGATATTTTCTCCACCAGCTATTTAGCAGGAGTGAATTACACTCGACATGTGTATCAGGAATAAGGAGGAAGTAAACTAGGTAAATAAAGGTGGTGTAACTGGTGTAATTTACACTAGTGGACACTCCACCAACAGCGAACGAAAGAACTTATTTAGTATGTTTGTGAGTTTATGATTCCAGTCAGAAATGTTATTCATTAAAAAAAAAAATAAGTTCTATTTGTTGAAAGTACCAAATTTCTCAATTTTTATTCACACCACCAATTAACAAATTAAGTATACAGAGAATCTTAAAGAAATGTGGCTGTTTCATGTAGGTTGTAAACAGACATGTATTTTTATAGATAAAAAAAATTAATATGGTAGGGTATTTATTTTTATTTCTCACCTTTTGGATCGCCAAATTTGATTTACCTCTATCCAAATAAAGACTCAACTTTAGAAAGACCCTGTATATATGCACATTGAGAATTACAATTTTTACCCACAAGATAAGCCGGCTATGTTGATACCAACTATATTCTTTTATAACAGTTACATACCACAAGGTACATTATTTGATATTTGAACCAGATTTTTATTTTCATAATTATTTGGACATTTAAATCTAAAGAAAAAAGCACCTACAAATTGTAAATTTTATTACTAACTACTAAAACAAATTCCATAATTCTTCAAATTCTTCACTAAATCTTTCTATAATATTTAAATTGTTTGTTAAAATTATATTATCAAAATTTGAATGTAAACCTTGACTGGTTAAATTCAGACTCCCAAAAAACATCTTTGCTAACTCTTTATTTTCCTTATCAATCAAACAGAATTTGTGATGCATCATACTTTGTTGGGAAAGTTGCATTTTATAGGGAATACCTAAAAAATAGTAGGTGTACATAATGTTTTATTTTTATTTCAGAAATTGTTTAACATTTAATTTTCAGACTTTATTCAACGCTTATTTTTAGATTCTTCATTCAATTATATATAAATAATACAAAAAAAATTAATATTTATTATTTCAAATACGAAGTTATGATTTCTTGAAGTTAATTTACCTAAATAGAAATTCTGTTCAATTATTGCACTGGCTAAATTAAAATATGTAAAAATTCATCAAATTTTCATTTATTTTCAAACAATATTTGAACTAAAATAATGAACCTAAATTAAATAATGATGGTACAATTCGAATGCTAAGAATCTAAAGTATTCGATTGTTGAAAGTTCCCGAATGGTCTCGAGAACCAAGTTCCAAATATCCGAATATTTGAGTTCTCGAATTTGATAACAATTCTTGTGTTTAATAACTAACTGATGACACAAAATTATCGAATGCTTACTCAATATTCAATGCAAGCAATGACTCAGAATTCATAAATCATGTTTATAGTGGTTCATATGAATATACGAACACAAGCCTTCCCCATGGATCGAGACTTAGATCGATATATTCGAGGATATGTTCATAGCGAGTACCGAAACCGTTAGGATTAATAGGTTGGTTCACGGGATAAGTATTCGATTCTTGAAACCATTTGAATGCAAAAGATTCGATTCTCCAAAAAATTCGATTCTAAAATTAAATAACAGTTCAAAAACTAGATATTTATTTTATTCTGGCACAAAAATTATGTAATCACTAGAGATGGGCATAATCGAATTATTATTATAATCGAAGTGATTTCAATAATCAGATTATCATTCGAATGATCTATTACTCAGATACTAGATCTTGAGATTTGTATGCCAATATATATAGAAGATGCGCAACATGTAAAAATTTAATAGTTACATAAACGATTTTCGGAAAAAATGCCTGATGTGAAATGTTCCACACGGTCAATTAACACATGGATTGGAAAAATTTGCTTTCGCTGTAAAAGAAGTAACAACAGTTTTTATTGGAACGAACATCAATTCAGTTAAAAAAATGTTGTTTTTTAAAAATTTTAACAAGGAGATAGAGCTGGGTAACTTTAAGCCTGTATTTATGGATAAGACGTTGGTATATAGCAAGGAAAGTGACAGAAAAAGTTGGCAAGATGGTTACTGCAAGTAAAAAAAAAAAAAACAGGAGATGGAATTTGATACATAATTGTCCATGGTGGCAATGAAGAAGGGTTTATAAAATACCTTATATTTAAAATTCAAACAAAAAACGGGGATCACCATAATATGAACACAGAAAATTTTGAAAAATGGTTTAAGACGAAATTTATGCCTAGTCTGGAACATCCGTCTTTGATTATAATCGATAATGCCAGTTATCATTTGCGGTAAGTAGAACCAATTCCATGTTATAGTTGGACAAAAGATAAAATGCTTACATGAAAAGAACATTAATTATCCAATCAATAGTATGAAATATCAGATTTGAGAAGTTATACATCAAAATCTACCACGAAAAGAATTCCACCTAGATATGTTGAGGAATATGGGCATAAAATATTAGGAACTCCTCTATATCACTGCCAGTACAATGCGATAGAGATGGTGTTCACAGTCCAAACAAAGTCATCACCGGAAGATGTATTTCAGACTTGGTCAGCTTTGAAATAATGTTACTGATACTCAGTGGGACACTAAAAACATAATTGTTTTCGATTGAAAAAACTACAAGCAATTGGATGTTTCTGATCTAGAACCAATTATTATTAATTTAGGTACAATGGCAAATAGTGATGAGTCTGAATCAGAGTCCAATTGTGAAGAAAATGATATTGATTAAAAAAAAATTGTATGAGTTATCCAATAAATATTTTCTATGCCTCTTGTTATATATTTTTTTAACAAAGAATATGTTTCACGAATTTGGATTATCTTTAAAAACTCAGAAAAAGCTAAAAATCAATGTTCAGCTGGGAAATTAAGTAAATTGTTCTAGTATTTGTAGACAAAATGTAAAACGTAATCTTATTTTTTCAAAGTTACTTCTTGTATTCATGTAAACGTACCTTAATAAAGTTTATGCTGCTAAACAACAACAATGCACAACTGAAATAAGAAAACACATGCAAACTGTAACTAAAAATGTGATACTCTTTTGTCATAGAGACTTGGGGTATTTCTATCAGTATATATAGGATAGGAGACATTACAAGTACTCCGTGTAGAGCGATTCTGAAATAAATGAAATTGGAATTTTGTGCTATGCAGGTTACGCAATCAGATTAGCAATTCTTTCTGAGAAACCTTGTATAATGTTTATTTGTACAACTTACCATTTTCCTTCAATTTTTTTAAATGTGCTTTTACAGGTTTTGTTTGGATCATTCCTTTGTCAGTAATAACTCGGATAATCACTCCTCTCTTATGAGCCATTAACAATTCATAGTTTAGAGATTGTAAAGTTAACATGTACACACAAAGACAAATGCTTAAATTGGCACTTGAAATAAATTTTTGAAGGGTTTTCTTATAAGACAAAGAACACCATTTATTACATAAATTGTCCTCAAATAAATGCGGTTTACAATTAAAGTTTTTCATATCGACAGATATTAATTGATGGTAGAATTTTCCATCTTCGGTAAATTGGTTTAACGTTTTTTTATATTTTTTCTTAATCATATAAATTATTAAAATAGATACTGAAGAGATGGATATAATTAAAATTTGTGGTAACATTTTTCAGTCTATAATTTTATAAAAATTAAAAATACGAAAAAAAAAAAATATTAAACATAACCTCTTTTTTCTTCTTTTTCTTTGGCATCAGAGAAACCCGAGCATTGTTGTTCTTGGGCCAATAAAAATAGGAAGGTCAGTTTTGCATCGATAGATTCAAAAACCAGTAGGCTTTAATCCAGCTATACTCGACCTGCGGGCCGCATGCGGCCCTCCCAAGATTTTTTTGTGGCCCGATACACTATTATTAAGTAGGTGCTTTTTAAAACTAGAGGTTTCTGTCAATAAAATTTTGAGCAAAATGCGCGAAAACATTTATCGGTCGCTGCACTAAATATCTCGTTAATTTTTAAATAAACGTTTGACTCATAGGATTACGGCAATAACAAGATAGCTTCACTTGTAGCATTTTCGAGATAAGTACATTTTCAGCTCCAAAATAGTTCAAATAATATACGGCATAAACAAAACAAGTGTAAACAAGGTCTGTATGGTCAACAAAAAATAATATATTAATATATATTATATACCTATTCACAAAATGCCAAACAAGATGAGTGACCTTTATACAGATTTATATTCATAGCATTGTATTTAGTTGTTAATAGCGTGTCTACCAAAACCAGATAAATGACATTTGACTTATTTTTGCTAAATGTATTTATTCCGATTCCTAATAGTGTTTTCGCCAAAATAAGATAAAGGCCAGAACACTACCCAGACAACACACCAAATCCCAGAGATATCCGCAGAATATCTTTTGTGGATATCCAATATATCCACAGGATATCAGAAATATTCGGTGGATCTAATATGGATATCCAAATGTCCGTCTATATCCAGGATATAGAAGATATCCTAATGGATATTCAGCAAAATATCTAATGGGTATCTTCCAGAAAATACAAGAAATCACAGAGATATCCACAGAATATATTTTGTGGATATTCAATACAGTGTTGCCAACCTTGAAGTAAGATGTTTTCCTCCACTTACCTTAGAAACTCCCTCCCGTTTAGGGTTGCCACCTTTTCATTCCAAAAAAGGTCCTCAGCGCTTACAATTTTACAAACCAGTTCTGTCGAGCTTCTAAAAAAAGTCCTCAGCTTCTAATTTAATAACCAGTTCTGTCGAGCATTTGAAACCCGGACAGGTGGCATCCTAACAAAATAACATACAAGCTTGTATAGATATAAAACAATACACAACAAATTTAATTTTATTTATTTTTGAAATCATGCATTTTTCACAATTTGGACTGGAGTAAAAAATTCCCATGTTGTGTTAACTTTTTCTCTTTTTCCCTTTTGTGTTAAAAATTCTCGCAAAATGGGAAATTTCCCTCCGGTTGGCAACATTGATTCAATATATCCAATATGGATATCCTACCAAATGTCCGTCTATATCCCAGGATATAGAAGATATTCGGATATTCACCAAAATATGTTATGGGTATCTTTAGTAGAGGTTCATAAGTAACCAATGATTATTGAATAACGTCGAAAGAAAATAGCAGAGATTAAAAATATTTTCAACACTCAAAATATTTTCAACACTCTGCCTTTGATGTTGCCCACTAAGGAGAAAGTCATCCTTATTAGGACTCTTCAGCAATAGATGGAAATTCTCGAATCCAGTCTCTAATGGAGTCTGTAGGACAAAAATTTCGATCGAACTCTATTACGGCGGGTCGAGCATGAGTAAATGCGATAGTGGTATCGCCATCTATACTTAGTAAGCAGAATCAAATAACATCTAGTGGATATCCACGATGGTTTGCGTTCGCGCCTAGACTTTAATATATTTAGTGGATGTTCATGGGATATTGAATACACCTTAAAAAAATTAATTTTAAATATCTGAACAGTACTATTAGCCACAATGGCGTAATTTTTTAATAATTTGTTATATAATTACTATTATTTATGGACATTTGCATGTCTATAAATTACATCTCATGGATATAAAATATATATCTACCATGGACTGGATATTCAGTGGATATTGGGATGTTCAGTAGATATCCAAAGGATTTGGTGTGCTGTCTGGGTAATTTTTGTTGTATGTATTTGTTAAACATTTTGTCCAAGCCATTTGTTTTGTTTTGCCAAGAGCCGTATCTGGCCTTTCTCGACTGGTCGGAAATCGACAAGGTGATTATGTCACCCTTTCTTTCAACGATACAGCTAACCTTCAAAAATCAATAGATGATAATACGATGACCGACTCGCCGTGGTAAATGATTGGTCAAGCCGTAACGAGTGATTGGTCAAGCTATAACGAGCGGGGATACTGACGCTCATCTCCATATTGTTTTCGCGCTAAAACGACCAGAAACACTTCTTAAATTACCAAAACAACACCGAAACACCAGCTTTTCTCATTTCTTAAAAATTCAAGCCATACCTGCAGAGGGATGCCTAAAAGGGTAAACTAAAAGCTCTGAAGATACTTACAAAAAAATTAGTAATGTCAAAAAGAAAGAAAGATTTACAAAAATTTTGCAATTCAGAGGCCAAGTATTTTGCACTCGTAAATTGGAAAAGTTCAAAGTAATTTTATGAAATAGGCCCCAGGTGCTACACCTGATAAATTTCATCATTATTATCACAATCTACCTGTATGTAGACAGCTAAAATAAGCAAAGTGACGGTTTTTTCTCTTTTTGTTTTTCTACAAATCGACAGATTCTTAGTTTATACTTTATGAAGACTAAATATGTTTTGAATATCTTTTCTTTATTGCAGTTATTATTTATTAAACAGTTTAAAGATTTTACTGTTTTTTTTTTAATCAATTTTAAATTTTTGAAAAGCAACTCTAAAAATGTAAGTTATCTTGTTTTTGTAGTAATCCGATAGGATATATTTATGTATTTTGTTTTATATTAGAGATTCCCACTAACTATTTTTAAATGTATGGCTTAAATAAAGTGTCATCATCCAAAAATATTGCGGCCCATCTAACATTGCAAATATAAGTATGTGGCCCTAAGGAAAAAAAGGTTGAGTATGGCTGCTTTAATCCGTGGTACACCCAATCCCTAAACGGGGGATAAAAATCTGATGTGTCCAACACAAAACTTTCCTGTCTAGTTATTACAGACTTTTTCCGGCTATTTTGTACAATCTATTGTATCACTCCTGTAAATGTTTAGAGGAAGAACTAATATATTCATTTTTCACATACATCTTACTCGAAACATTTTTTTATATATATTCATTGCCAAAGAAAACACTAAAAAAATAAAATTTTACACTTTTCCTAAAATTTTTCCATTACGGCCCATTTTAGAGAGATCATGTATGAAACAAAAATTATAGGGATCGACTTTTAGCCTAACAATTTTTTTAAAAATTAGAATTTTGCACTTTTTGTCAAATTTCTCGAATATTATTTTAAGAAAATTATGTATATGAAAAAAATATAATTACAAGCAACTTTTGTTTGAAGAATTTTTTTCTCCAAGCGTAAATAACAGATATTTTTCATAAAGTAGAAAAACGACCTTCTATAAAAGTACCCCTCCGATTTTCCGACTATGCTCAACATTTAATCATTTTATCACAGGATGGATTAAGGCCTAAATTTAAAATTTGGTTTTATTCTCCTATTTATTTTTGAGTTTTCGAAATTTACACTTTTTCTCAAATATCTCCAATACGATCCATTTTATAGAAATTATGTATAGGATAAGAATTATAGAAAATAATTTAATAATTAACTCTTATTTAAACAATTTTCTTAAAAATTTTATTTTTTTACATTTTGTCAAATATCTTGAATACGGACCATTTTACGAAAATTTTGTATAGGGCAAAAATTACAGAAAATAAAATTAGAAGTAACTTTTATTTGAAGAATTTTCTTCTCCAAACGTAAATAACATATATTCCATAAAATATAAGAACGACCCGCATAAAGTACCCCCAGATGTTCCCACTCTGTCCAAAATTTAATAAGTTCACCGCAGGCCGGAATAAAGCTTAAGTTTAAAATTTGGTGTCAAGACGGATTCAGGGGACTCCAAAACCCAAAAATCCGCCGAAAACTTCGAGGTCGAATAAAATCATGATTCCTAAACGTTCCTTATCTGTATACAGACAGGAAAGTAAAAATACTTTCAATGTAATCTTGTAACAACATATTTATTTATTCATTCAAATTCCATCATAACTTATTAAATATGACGCAAAAATAATAAAAGCATATTATATTATATTATATGTACATAATGTCTATGAAGTGTATACAAATATTATCTTACCATTAATCAAAAAATAAAAATAATCTCGATCTAACTTAAATCTGCTGAGCAGAGGAAAAATCATATCCTCCAATTTTACCAGAATTTTGTGGCACTGTCCCTCTATCAATATCTTCATAGGAGTCTCCCCTTTCACTGTTACTGCCTGGCAAAAGACCTGTCAAAACGCCTGAAAAGAGTTACATGAAAAATAACATAGTGGTGTATAATCTAGACTCAAATTGTTAAACCAGATTGTCAAATTTCTTACAATTATTTTTATTAATCCTTTAACCAGCAAAAATGCGGAAATAGTTGAACGACCATATGCGGAAGACACCTTTGTTTGGATCGTTGCTAATACTATTTAAAAACGACCAACACGACTATCTATAAGGTGATCAACAAGCTATAATTTATCTGTGGAAGAAAATTCGATCATGGAAGGAAGCTGCGGTACGAAAAAAGCTTTTTTGGCGGTTATTTGACTTATTAGACTTTGTTAGAATCTAATGATAAATCTCACATTCAAACACTTGGGAACGCAGTCCAATAACAATTCTGTTTCAATAACTAATCAGTTTGGGTTCAGATAAAAGTATTTCTGTGAGTGCATTACAGTTAACAGTGCGTAAATTTAAAAATGATGTTGATGAGAATAAATATGTAGTAGCTGTTTTCTTAGACCTAAAACGTGCATTTGAGACGATTGATAGAGGTATTTTACTCAAGAAAATTCAACAATATGGTATAT